AAGAAGAAGAAGAAGAAGAAGAAGAAGAAGAAGAAGAAGAAGAAGAAGAAGAAGAAGAAGAAGAAGAAGAAGAAGAAGAAGAAGAAGGGTATCTCAAAAGGTCCCAGTGTTGGTGAACAATAAATGTTAGTAATAAAGATAATTGTGTATAACGAATTATTACTTTGTGTTAATGATTATATTTTTGTTGTTATTGACTCTTAACTTTTGTATTGATTTTGATGTTATGATTATACATTTATTTTTCAATAAATTAAGAAATTAATATATCCTAACATTAGGGACACTCTACAGTTCCTCAGTGGTAAGGAAAAAGTATTCTCCACATGTGTATTGTTGTTGTTATTATGTGATGTCAAGTCACCTATGAATGACTAACCTCCAAAACATCCTCTTCTCTGCTACCCCTGCTCAGCCCTTATAAACTCAAGGCTATGGCTTATTTATTACCGTACAATTTATTCCATGATATAAACTTGATAAAGAGTACTGTTTCTTACATAAGAAATAAATTTTGCTCGTTAAATCTACAAACTGGATTCAAGATGCTTACCTTTCCTGCTGAATCTATTTTTCATTTTGTGATAGCACCATGCTAATGGAGTTCTGCTTATACAACAGAACTTTGCCCTTCTTATGTCTCCTCTGAGATCCTAACAGAGAATCTGCTCCACAGAGTTTCCTGGCTATTTTTGTTCCCCATCTTGCAATTGTTTGGTTCTTGTCTCTGTTTTGACACATTCTACATTAAAATTCCCATATATTAACAGAATTTTCTGCTGTGCAGTATCATTACTCTATGGTATTTATTGATTTTTTTAAAAAAATCCTGTACCATGCCTATTATTCCTGTAATCACCCTCAAGGCAATGTACAATTCAAGCAATTGTACTCTCCTCAAATAACTCTGCTCCAAGTTTCCTCTCTTCAAAATCTGAAATTGTCTGCAAGGTAGAGAAGAATTTTCTCAGCGGCCAGCCCAGTTCTGGAACAGCCTCTCCCAATGAATTTGTTTATATTTTCATTTTCAGTTTAGGAAATTATCTAAGACTCATATTTTTATTAAAGTCTAGGGCTAATTGAGGTTGTCCAACTCTGGGCACATCATTAGAAGACAGGGTTTTCTGGAAAAGACAATAATGCTGGGAAAGGTTGAAGGTAGCAGGAAAATAGGAAGACCTAATACCAAATGGATTGACGACTCCTTAAAGGAAGCCACAGGCTTGAGTTTGTAAGAGCTGAGCAGAATCGGTCATTCATAGGATTGCCATAAATTGGGGATGGGGGACTTGACAGCACATAACAACAGCAGGGCTAATTTGGAGACTATGCTGGAGTGGTCTATGGATGGAGGATTTATACTGTCAGTTGTCATTGTATTAAAGGGGTGTTTCTTTCACTGTTCTTTGGTTTTTCTTTTTCTTTCATGTTTCTTTTATCATCTATATTTGGATGAGCAGAATTAGAAAGTAGCATCAGCATTGTTAGGACTGTCAGGGGAACTCTGCATTGGTGGGGGGGGGTATGACTAATATGCCCAGGGAGCTGCTACTCCCTTCCCCCCCATCCTCCACTGTTGCTTATTCTTCCCATACCTTCTACATGCAGCGACAGAAACAGGGATATGTGGGGGGGTATGACTGCTACTCACTCCCTCCCCCATCCTCCACTGTTGCTTATTCTTCCCATACCTTCTACATGCAGCGACAGAAACAGGGACAAGACCTGTGACCTCTGTTCAGTTTCAACCTTTTGTGGGGCTGTGTGAATTTGGCCCCAAAGGAGAGGGTAAATGAACAGGTAGCAGTGACGAGAGTGAAAGAGAGGATTTGAATCCACCCAGCAAAGGACTGACTGAGGGCATCTTGCCCAAAGACAACACAGAGAGAGAGAGAGAGCTCAACCAAGAACTGCCCAAGAACCAAGATACAAATGTTTTACAGTGGACCCTCGACTTACAGACCTCAACCAAGAACTTTTGAAAGGACAAGATACAAATGTTCTACATAGGCAAGTAAATACATGCATCAGTCTATTAGGAAGCAATTAAGGGCATATGTCACCGTAGGAACTAAAACTGAGAAACATTTGCGGTTAACAAGTGTGTTCTTCCCTGAAGTAGAGGGTCCACTGTACATAGGCAAGTAAATAAATGCATCAGTCTATTAGGAAGCAATTAGGAACTAAAACTGAGAAATATTTGCGGTTAACAAGTGTGTTCTTCCCTGAAACTATATATACACAGTGAACTCAGAGTTGAGGAGGAAAAAAAAACCCTTGTCAAGCTACAAAATGGTTACAACTGCAGCTTTTATTCTGGTTTCGATAGTTCTGTCACAATAGGTTATAAACATTGAACAGTTTTCCTTGCTTATTTTCATATGAATGATCCCATATTTCAGGCAGATTCGAAAGGAAATGGCAGCATAAACAAGAGACTTCCATCCATTGTGGAGGATGAGGAAGAAGAGGAGGAGGTGGCTGAAGAGGAGGCAGCTACTCTCTCTCCAGTCCACACAAGAAGCACTACCTCCTCCCAGCAGAAAAAGTTGGGAAGCAATAAAAACTATCTTGGGATAAACTTGAAACAGCTGGCCTCAGGAACAGTGCCCTTCCACTCACCGATCCGTGTTTGCAGCACAAACTCCTCTCGAACCAAGCACGAAACTGAATTGCATTATTACAAAAGGAGAGAGAAGAACCTGAAGCTCCATCTTTCAACACTCAACAATGTTGCTCCTCCAGACCTCAGCCCTAGGTAAGCCTTAGGTATAGCTCAGGCTTAGTGCATGCACACTCCCACAGCATGATTTTTTCATAGAGTTCAGACAATTTATTTCCTGATCTTTCATGTCGCTTCTAATAATATTGTTGCCTTAAACGTCCAAGAGTAATGATGGTTAATTCGGTTTATTTATATCATAGGTATGTCCAAGAATGTGCTTGTTGCAGAAAAGGTTCAGAACTAGTAACTCAAACAAAAATTAGTAAATGAAGTCCATACTCTGTACAGAAAGCAAAGCCAAGAACAGAAGAAAAGGTGTTTCAGCCTACCCAGTGCTCATTTCGAACAGAACTGGAGACACTGTGGCTGAAGCCATGATTATGGGGGCCGCAGCCCAGCACATCTAGAGGGCTACAGGTTTTCCATTCCTTAAGCAAAATAATCTTTACTAGTTCAGTTTTATTTTTGCACTTCTATGGTGGAAACATGTTTACTTTGTTGTAAAATGCACTCAGGCCTCAGCAGAAACAATGAAATGAAGTTGGGAAATGGGGAGGGGAATGCAGAAAGAAAGGAGGGGGGCACACAGAGAAGGGAAATGTGCGCAGTTCAGTTTCAACCTTTCACTGCTCCCCCAATCTTGCCAGTGGAGGCAAAAGAAAAGGATCCTCCCCCTTATGCACACACAAGGAAGAAAAAACGGGGATTGATTGAAGAGCACAAAGCAAATTAAAAAGAGAAGTATGTGTGTGCATCCAAACAAGAGGCCTCTCCCCAATAGGTTCCCCGTGTCTATGTAAAAGAAAAGAGACTCTTAACACTCTACTGTGGATCCACGCATCCCTCTCTGTTCACATTTCGCCTTCTACCTGAGCTTGCCTTTTCCACCTCTCTTTTGCACACTCCTTCTACCTGAACTTGCCTTTTCCACCTCTCTTTTGCCCACAACAGACACCCTCCCAAAAAAAGAAAGAGTGAGGGGGAGAAGAATCCCCCCCCCAAAAAAAAGAAAGAGTGAGGGGGAGAAGAATGCAATGTGTCTTTCTTTGCTTTCTTAAGTGTTCAGTTTCCCGACATCTTAAAGGGGCTTGTTTATTAAGCACTTTGCAATATCAGAAATTTAGACCAGGAGGAGCCCTGGCAGCTTTGACAGCTGCAAGGTTCAATTTTCATCCATTCCCACTGACTGCACCCTCCAGTAATCAATTAAACTAGAAGGCACCAATCCACACCAAAATGTGAAAGACCCTGGCAGGGGCTCAAAAAGGTCCAGGTTGAGATGTCCTGGGGGCAAATTGCTCCCCTCGTTATGTGGACGCTAGAAAAAAGAGTGAACCATTCTACCCCAGAAACACCTTAAACTGGGGGAGAAATTCATATCTGGACATAGTCAAAGACTGCAATCTCCTAGTTTGTTTCTTCAGGTGCAAAAAGGAGGAGCAAAGTTGCTATGTGTGAGAGATAGATACTTCTTTGTATCACAACTTGTTAAGCCAAGTTTTTATCATCTAAATGTGACCTGAGCAATAATACTCCACACACTTTGGTCGCTAGCCTGCTGGCACCTTCAAAACCCACTCACCTGTCTCTAGATATGGCTCTGTTGACCATGACATCTATATGTGAACTAATGCAGGATATATAAAAGAACTTTGCAAAGCTTTATCTCGGGTCAGAAATCTTCCCCAAGTTTTATTGGACAATCTTGGGGTGTGCATTCTCTGTGACCTTAGCAGTGGCTTTGGAGAGCTTGGCACAGCATAGCCAGGGGCATTGATCCATGCCCAGGTCTTGAAGAAAATGCTGAGCAATGATTTGATTTTCTTTGAATGTGCTTAGCCAAGCAGATACCAACTATCAAAATGCACAAAAATTCAGCTCCCTATTCACTGAAATGCTTGTAGCTGCATTCTGATCCTCATCAACTTTCATTGGGACATTACTAAGCACAATCCAGTGGGAAGATCCCCTCCAGTAGATCCACTGAAGTGTGGCCCAATAGATCATGCTGCTCCATTCTTGCCCATTTGTCTGGTGCAGGGAAACCTAGGTGAATTATGCTCAGAGAAGCTGTCTACAAGAGCTCCTTGAGATGAAAGAAACCAAAAACAAACTTTCATCCCTGTTGTCATGGTGCTGAATTTAGAATGAAAGTAATAATCTTCTATGAGTGTTTTGTGACCTGTATCAAACAGGTTCTAGTTCAATAAATCTATTTTTCATTCATTCATGGTCCCCATTATATTCTGCTCATTACAGTAAATACAGTGATGACTGCTATAAAACAGAAAGCTTGCACAGGCATTCTTCAGCAAAGGTTGGTCCAAGAGATGATATTCCCATTTTATATCTTTGTAAGTGCAATCAGAACATATAATACTCATTTCATGCTTTAAAGAAAGCTACGCATTTAATGTTTTCCCCATATGGGCAGATGAGTCAGTATGTTCAGCACTATCTACAGTCATAGAATCATGGAATTGTAGAGCTGGAAGGGACCCTATAGATCATTAAGTCAGGCCTTAGCAAGGAGGAACAATGGGGGGACTCCATTGCGTTTCTCTGTTGGGAATCAAACTCCTCAAAATGAATGATAAGGCACTTCCTCTGTGTGTGTGTGTGTGTGTGTGTGTGTGTGTGTGTGTGTGTGTGTGCGTGCGTGCGTGCGTGCGTGCGTGCGTGCGTGCGTGAGCACGCACACACACACACACACACATGCATGTGTGTAAAGAAAAATTCTAATTTTAAAAGAACGTTCTTGTTGAGCATCCCTGTTCAAAACTTTACTTCCATGGTGGTAGAAAAATCTTCTCATAATAGAAAGCTTTTCTCTGTGATTGAAAGCAGTGGCATGGATGGGGCCCTTTGCACTGTATTGTAACACGAGCAAGGACACCCTCATGGGTATTTCAGCAAATTGTTTTAGGTTGGGAGTGATGCTTGGTGCTGCAGATTTTCAAGGGTTGTGGATACAGGCCAGAGATGGGGTTGTCACATTATCAGATCATTCCGTGAGATTTCAGGAATGGAACCAAAGGCCAGTGGATAAACACCTCTGATGAACCAAGATGTGGGATAGTCAAGCTTTCCTTCTAGACTCTGAACTGCTCCAGCCAAGGCTTGTGCATCAAAAAGACTCCCAAGCTGTGAGACAAAGATTTCTCCCAATTGCATGATGGGGGCCAACCTCATCATGGAAAATCCCGGAGTGAGGAAAATGGACTGAGGAGAGAGATATTGGTACATGCACTTGGATATGGCATGCAGCAAATGGCATTGGCCATCTGAGAATGGATGGAGATGGATACCCAGGCATTAACCTGCCACAAACACAACAAAATTTTCCCCTCCCTCTTATTTGCCAGGAGATCCAGAGAAGCATAAAAATTCCCCGAGACTAAAGCAGATACCTTGAGATCTGGAGCCTTAGCCAGAGATAATTCTGAGCATTCAATGAACATCCAAAAAGAGGAATACATGGAGCCCCCAGTAATTTGCAAATTTTCCATCACAGCTCATTGCTATGCTTGTTACGTCTGTCTTGTTTGTTTGTTTGTTTTCCTTTGCTACTGTTAAGATGAAACCAAGTTACGTATATTTTACAAGGCCTTTTAGGAATATGCATTTCTCCAACAAAGTGAATACATGGATTTTTATTATATGGTGAAGACCAGCTCTTCCTTGTGTGCTATCCTGTGTGTTTTGAATTGGGAATTTACCCTCCCTCTTTTGTTGCTGCATGAAGCAGACATATCAGTATAACTTCAGACTCTGTTTCTCTAACACCCATTCTGAGTTCCAAATACAGAGATTTTTTTATTATATCACATGCTTCATGTAGCAACAGCACAGTCAACTCCCTTGTGTATGGCAAGCTAAGATTTGCTCAAACTTAGGGAAGCTTCCTGGGTCTACCTTTTATCTCTGCTCCTCTTCAAAACTTCAGACAGTCCCACAGGAGGAAATGAGATCTAGCAGAATGAAAGAGGGAATTATGCAGCACTCTTTCTCAGATTTCTATGTGCTGGCAATTCTAGACCACTTTATGTTCTGTTGCACTAGTTGTGAACAATTCTTACATACAAATAGACCTGACATTTTCATAATCTGGAAGCACTTATAAATGAAATGCAAAAAAGGATGAACTTTTAATTATTTCACATGTAATGTTTTGAATACATGTTTGTTACGTGCCTTTTCCATACCGTTTGCAAACTCATCCCTTGAATATGTGTGACACCAAAAGGGCACCACTGCCCCCCAGCGCAGGAGGCAGTAGCAAGAGGTTTGGAGAAATCCAAAATGTGCAGAAGGACACACACAAAACCGTCTCACACAGAGTTGAGGAAGATCATTTTCAAAAGTATCCAGACAAAGACCGAGCATGCTTAATAAGCATGACATGCTGACTGGCTCTTGGGAAAAAAAGGAAAAACCAGGGGAAGAAAAAAGAATACCATATCCTAAATATGTATGGCTGGAGATATGAACATCATATTCCTACAATGACCTCCAAATTGTTAGAACACTATTTCTGAAAACCATCTTGAGTCTGAAAGTCTTTTGTCATGTGGCATCAGGCTCCTGTTTGAGAAATATGAGCACAAGTCCCCACGCTGGGTCCATGCACCCTTTCTTGGATATCATGCATGCTTGGCAAGCTTTTGGAAATATTACGTGCCATCTTCAGGGTCTGCACAAGTTAAGGCAGGAATCTAGCTAACTAACTAAACACAGTAATTCCGTGGGCCAAGAGAACATGTGGTCACCCAAATAATGTAATAAACTTTCCATAAATCCTTCCCACTGGCTGGAAGGCCAAGGGCTTTGGCATGCCTATACCCTAGTTCATGACTGAGGGTCTATGACTTTAAAAGCTGGGTGAGAGGCAGCATTCAAGACAGACAATTTTCCTTGTCTGCATACATCTACTGTCGTCTTCTAACAGCCTCTGAAAAAAGCCATAATATATTTATATATTTCTCCATCAAGGGATACTACGTCTGCTGAATGTTTGCATGTGGTACAGTGGTGGTAATAACAGGCACAAGCGAGTTCTGAAATGGTGACTGATCTCACAAGCCAAAGACAAGGACTGTAAAAGGCAAAAGATGTGTGTAACAGAAGTTAAGCTCCAAAGAAAACAAGTGAGATGTGTCAGGGGGAAATTGAATATTGTACAATTTTTTATAACTGCAGCTATTTTTGAAGGCTGTTTTAGAGCAGCTATAACATTACTGCAGAAAACAAGTATCTGAAACTATTCAACCAGGGAACCCATAGCCACCTTGTGCATAATAATTGTTCTTCACCTAACAAGGTGTGGTTGTTATGAAAAGGTTCCAGCCGCCTGACGGCCCTTACAACAGCCTGCGTTGGGCATGGCTGAGGTTTGCCCACCAGCCTGGAGGGACCAAGACGGTGCTATCTCGCATTGGCGGGGGGCATGGAAGCACGGAGATTTAAGGACGCACTTCCACGCACTCGCCTTCTTTCTTTTTGGGCATCCACCCGCCCGCCCTGTTTCTAGTGTGTTTCTTGGTTGCCATTTTTGGGGCCGGATAGCAATTTTTGACCTTCATTTTGATTGGCAGTTGGACGGGGGGATTTTTCACCTATCCCACACTGGAGATGGGTTGTTGGCTCCCCTCTTATGGTGGAATTTTGGTGGGTAGTGCGGAAAATAGGTGTTTTCAGTGTGTCCCAAATGTAATTTCATCTTAGCCAACCGCGCATCCGACCCACCGGCTCTGCGGATTGTGCGATTAGAGGGCCAGTTCGGGAAGGATGCGCTGGGCCACTTCTGGACCAATAGTCGTCAAATAAAGATGTCTGGAGGTCTGGGGGTGTTTATTAGCGGCCAACTGGGTTCCGGCTGTCTGGTAGACCGCTGGTACCTGGGGGCTGGGGACTCGCCCAATTTGTGATCTAGGGGTTCTGGTTACCCGCTACCTGTCACCTTTTCCGCACTACAGCAGGCCCCTTATAATTGAACTGTTGATTGGCTGATATCATTTATTTTCAATAAAGTGTGGCCCATATTTAATCCAACTTTGTAGTCTTGCGTCTTTATTCCAGGATTGGGTGGGCAAGTAATTGAGGAACTGACAAGAGAGTGAAGCTTGATGGCAGAATGCATGATGCAATTCCTGGCATTTCCCATGGATCTGGCAGCATCAGGTGATGTGAAAAACATCAACCTGAGACTTCCTGCACCACAATCACCATCTTCCTTAGTACATACAGTACCTGGTTGGCAACTTCATGGCTCATTCAATGTCATTCAGCTATAATCCCCTTAATCCCTCATTATTACTGGCTATGGCTGGTGGGAGTTGCAGTCCAACAACAGTCAGTAGGTGGGCTGGACTAGATGGATTCAGGTATAAATCAGGTTTCTAAGTCCTAAAGACTTTAAAGTAGTCCAAGTAGGGATAAGAATGGATAAATAAATAAATGAAAATACAGTGGTGCCTCGCTTAACGAGCGCACCGTACAACAACGAAATCGCATAGTGATCCCTTTTTGGGGATCGCTAATGAGATCGCTCAACGTTTTTTAGATAGGGCAAAATTCGCTTTGCGAAGATCGGTAAGCGTTTCGCTTACTGATCTTTGCAAAACGAAGCCCCGACGATCAGCTGTTCAGCGGCCAAAAGGGCCGCTGGAAGCCCGGAAATGGCCCAAAATGGCCGCGCGCAGCGTTTTCGCACCCTCATTAAGCGAGGGGAGGGCGCGAAAATGGCTGCTGGCCATTAAGAAGCATCGCTGAACGGTGAGTATTCGGCCCATTTGGAATGCATTAAACCAGGCTTGTCCAACCTGCGGCCCGAGGGCCGCATGCGGCCCAGGTTGGCTCATAATGTGGCCCAGTGCAATTTTTATTTTTAAAGAAATTCCAAAGTTTCAAGTTACAATGGTGGTGCTTGCACGTCACAACGGTAGATGGGGAGGGGGAAAGAAGGAGTGGGAGGGAAGGGGATGGAGGGGCTGCGTTACTGCATTGCGCTGTCCCCGTCAATAGGTGGACCCCCTCCCGGCCCCATAAAGCCACTGGAGTCGATGCTAGCAGCCTCTGCTGTCTGAGATCGTAGCTGCCGGTAAGCGCGCTTGGAGCGGGGCTCTGGAGGACAGCTAGGGCTGCCCCCCCCCCATGTGGCCCAAACCAAATTTATGTGCGGCCCAAACCAAATTTTCATCTTCTAATGTGGCCCAGGGAAGGTGAAAGCTTGGACACCCCTGCATTAAACCATGTTTAATGCGTTCCAATGGAATTCCCTGCCCCGTTCAACGATGCTTCAGCATAGCGAAGGTTAATCCGGAACGGATTAACCTCGCTATGCGAGGCACCACTGTAACACTTGTGTCTGTGTGTGTGTGTAAGAACACCAAAGTGCATGTACATTCATGTCTTACATTAGATACATAATCTAATGTAATATATCAAAGTGCATATTTATGCATGTTTGATGTATCTAATATCAGACATGCATTTAATTTGGTATATTCTTACATGCATATGCAGATATATGATGTTATTAACTGGAAAGAAGGGATTGTTTTATCATGTTTTACTGGAAAATTTATAATTCTACTTAATTTTACGAAACTACAATTATATGTATCTATTATATGTATCTATTTTATATTTTATATTGATTGGTTTTACTGGTCATTGACTGTAATAAAGTATTCATTCATTCATGCATATGCATACATCTACTGTCCTCTTCTAACAGCTTCTGAAAAAGGCCATAATATGTTTTCTAAATAAAATATGCTACTTTTCAGGATAAAGCCCCACCCTCCAACCCTTATTTAATATGCTCAGACTTTGTCTCTCTTTGGCACTGCATATGAAGTTTACATTACTGGATATTCCTTCCTTTTAAATTTTTTCAGTATATATGAGATTAATCATCAATGGGAAAAAAGTATTGTTAGCATGTTTTTCTCTTTTATTAATTTCAGTTCATGTCATGAATATTATATTTCTCTTAAGATGTACAAATTGCTGTACAAAGACAAAGCAGCATGATCTCTGCATGAATGTCCCAAAATTATGTTTTCCTTGGAAATAGGGTTGTTGACGGTACAGAGAATAGTAACAACAACGAGGAAAGCCAGACATTTGATTTTGGCTCTGAACAGCTCCAGCAGGATTCCACATCATCTCCTCCCATCAGGGGTGAGTGCTATATTTAGCCATCTTACAAAAGATTCATAATGCACCTTTTGGAAAAAGCTGCCTTTAGTGTCCCACACATTGTAAGAAAAGGGCTTAGATGCAGCTGACTTGCCTTGTCTAGTACTGTCATGAAAGACTGAAGAAAGAGGAATGCACACCAATGTTTTAGATTTATCAGGCTTTTTTTGCCTGTCATTTATTGGGCAGGATATCAGATCAGAACACTTCTGTACATCGTAGTTTTGTAAACCAAGGTGCAGCTCCGTATGGTTTTATATAGCCTATTAAATAATTGAGAATGAAGTTAAGATTGGGTAATGCAGTGTTCATTATAAGGGTGATTGGATCAGGGCCAAAGCCAAAAAAGTAATGATGGAACATAAGAAAAACAGAAGAATGAGATCAGAATGCAAACAGCAAAAACATAAATACTGTATAAGTAATAAATCTTCTCAAAGCTTATTTAAATGTAGTAATAAACTAATAATACAAGATACTTTTAAATTCTCCCTTGAATTGCATGGGTCTGAGCAGCACGGTTTTGGAAATACATTGATTTTTTTTCAATAAATAAAGAAATATTCCAATAAAGAAATATTCAATAAATACTGTGCCCCTTAGCCATCCAGAACCCCATGAGTTCAACACCAAAGGCATCAGAGTGATCTACTTGCTCCCAAAAACAACATCTCTAATTCAGCCTCTAGATAAGGGGGTCAATAAGGCCCTTTAAGGCTCATGACACACAGTTCTAGTACATTGAAAGGACTGTCAATGTTATGGAAGAGAATCCCAACAGAGAGAACTGTCTTGTGTGTATGTGTGTGTTAATCAACAGCTTATGCTGTGTAGTTATGTTTTTTTTTGGGGGGGGGTAAGGGTTATACATGGATTTTGAACTACACGGGAATCTGGTTGTTGACGGGAGAAGTGCATTATTTTATGACTGCTTGTTAACTACTTTGATGAAATCAAAACAGAGAAAGAGCAAGGGAATATTAACTGCATCCCATACGCTCCATATTTAAAGAAAAGAAGAGAATTAATAATCTGTTTAGTAGAATAAAGTGCTGTTTCATGCGTGCATGCATATATAATACAAACACACACATATTCATTTTTACTTAAAATACGTTTTTTCTGTCTGCCAAAGGAAAATAGTACTCTTTGTGTCTCTATACTCATATATATGTATATACATCGTATACAGTATACATATGACACACACAAGTGAATACCCAGGAACAGGCTTTAACTAGAGCAGGGCAACTGGAACTTTGCACCAGAGTGCCAAATTTAGAGGGCATGCCTTTATACCCAGCCTCCCCACGTTGGCCCAGCAACCTGGTCTACTGTCATAGAAAAATATGATAGAAGACCAGGCATCCAGCACAACATTCTGATTTTCAGGAAGCAGCACAGCCAATAGACCAGGCCACTGGGAGACAGAAGGGGAAAGGTAGTTGTATATCAGCCCCTGCTGAGGCAGTGGAGGGCATGTCTATTCAAGGCTCAGTAGACTACGCCTCTGGCTCAAGACTTACACACAGCAATCAAATGAAGGGGTGGTCTACCTGAATCATATGGCTAGACCAGGTTAACTCAGGTTAAGACTCAGTAGACCAGCTTGTCAAAATCTCAGACAAAAAGGTAGTTTAAAGACTGCCAAAAGGCTAATTCCTTCAATCGGGTAACATATTCAATGCATATTTACCAGTGGTAACTCTGTCACCTTATTTGTTTGCCCTCCAACCAGATTTTCTTTTTCCCTACAGTCAACTGAAGGTAAATAAATCAGTTTGCTTGATTATGCAACTTCTTAATTATTCATTCATTTATAACTGATGTATACTGCCTTTTACCCTTAAATTTCATGCAATGATACAATAAAAGAATACAATTTATTTCCATATGGTGGGAGCTGATATTCAGACATGTGAACTGGTACTTGGTTTAAAGTTTTTAACCTGCCTCACAGGTGTGTTGTAAGGAGGAAATGGGGCAGGGACCTGAGCCCCATAAAGAAGAAGTAGAATTGGTAATATACCTATTTATTGTTATGATTACAGACAATGAAGATGGTGCTGGAGCACTAGTTATCAAAGCAGAAGAAACAAAACAGCAGATCAGCCGTCTTAATAATGAGGTATGGAAAGGGTGACACTATTTTACTTAGATTTATCTGAATTCACTGAAAGTAAGCATGTTAATGGTCAGCCATATTGGTATGGTGAGATGTGCTAATTTTCTATAACTGGTGGCATTTAATAACTGTCTAATTTTAAAATAAATCTATTTTCTTTTCCCAAAGCTTTACTACAAGTGGCCATGCATTTAACAGCTAAAAGAGAACTTTTTAAAATGTATAATAGAACTTAGGCAACAACTTTACCCACACTACTCTGGAGTAAGACCCATTGCACTGTCATTGTAATCTGTAGGTGCTATCAATAGACTTTACCTCATTAAAATGCTTTTTATGCAAATAATAGAACACCTTCTCTCACCTAGATATCTGGTGGAACGCCTTTTCCCACCTAGATCTACCCATATCACTTGCTCTAGCCAGGAGGGGCGGCTGAGGGGCCTAACGCCAAGGGAGGCCCAGGGA